AAAAAAAAATAAAATGTGTCTACTAGAGGGGTGCCTGGGTGGCTCGATCAGTTAAGTGTCAGAGTCTTGACTTCAGCTCGGGTCAGGATCTCACGGTGCGTGAGATCGAGCCCTGCTTTGGGGTCTGCGCCGACAGCACAGAGCCTGCTTGGGATTCTCTCTCCCTCTCTCTCTGCCTCTCCCTGCTCGCACTCTCTCTCTCTCTCTCTCAAAGTAAATAAATAACATTTATTTTCTCTCTCTCTCTCAAAATAAATAAATAACATTTAAAAATAATAATAAACCGTGGCTACTAGAAAGTTTAAAATGACCTATGTAGTTTGCGTTACATTCTAGTGGCCAGCAGCACAGGTCTGAACAGAAACAGGGTTTGAAGAAGCGAGGCAAACAGACGACGGTGCTCAAGCCACCCGGTTAAGGCAGGGAAAGGGGCTGCGGGAGTGGAGAGAGCTCACTTCAGTGGAGTACAGACCCACTCGTGTACAGGATAGAGTTTATCGTCTTCCTTACGAAGAGGAAAGGAAACCATCCCTTGGTCTTATCAAGAGAGCAATAGCAGCTCTACTGCATTTTTTGGTGGGGGCCGGGGGAAGGCGGGTGGAATGTAACTTACTTACCTTTCCTCTAACACACAGCTTGGCGCTCAAAGCGCTCCTTCCGCCTGTTGCTTTTTTCAGCAACATTCTTTCACACATTCTTAGAAAACCCAGGCAATAATGCAATCTCTCCTAAATGTTAATGGTGCACGCTCCAGGTAAGGAGTCATCCTGGAGAAATGAAGGGTGCAGGAGGCCGCACAGGAGGAAGCGAGCCCCACATCCCCCGTGCCTCTGTGCTGTGGCAGCACTCCTGGCTAAGTGGCTTACGGGGCGATGAGAACAGCTCAGCTAGAGCTCATCCCCTGACTGAGAGGCCCGGCACAGGCCAAAGCCCTGACCAGAAGGCGCCGATGCCAGCCAGGCCGACGTACCATCATGCCAATGCCAATGGAAGCTTGGGCCCCGGCCCTGAGCCCATCCGACAGGTTTTCGGTAATTGAGCGCCCCAGGAGTGCGGTGTCCGAGGAGAGGCGGTTAATCAATTCTCCAGTGCGAGTCTTGTCGAAGAAAGCAACCTCCTGCCTCAGAAGAGAGGAGAATAACGAAGCCCTCAACCTATTCACAATGCGCTGACCTGCAAAAGCAAACAAGAACGGCATCAGCTTGGGTCGAGCCAGCTAACAGGCAGCGGCTCGGGCGGCTGTCGTCAACCTCCTCCCAGCACGTCTGGGGCCCTGCGTCCACCTGCCGGCAACTGGCCCCCCTGAGCCCCGGCACACTGACACGCACACACTGGTAACGAGCACTCTTTCTGCCTCAGGAACCGTGCGGAGACCGTGGATGCGCAGGAGGGGATCCGGGGATAAAACAGAGGATCGCTGATCGCTGAGAGACATTTTAAACAGTACTATTTACAAATGAGGCTTCCTACGCTAACTTCCCCAAAGCTGATTCTGTTCCCCCTTGGCAATCCTTTTCTGTACTGAGCTCGGCAACGGCAAGGGCCGGTTAATCATCTGCAGAGCGTTTTATGAGCTAAGTGGCGAGCAGCCGGCGGAAGAGTCGGGCACCCCGGGCTCTGTGATTTCTGTGGTTGTCACCGGCCTGTTAACAGCCAGGCCTCGTCACGGAAAGGCTGTAAAACACCATCGCCCCAGTGCCCACTGGAGGGGAAACACAAACACGGAGCATGCAAGATTTCCACAGCTCCCTGGAGAAGGCTCAGAACTCCAGCCTCCTGCCCACGGGCCGTGCCTCCCGTAAGACAGGCGGCTTCCCTCCCTTCCACCCACGTACCAGGGGAGCTGAGAAGTGAGCGCCGGATCGAAAAATATTCGTAGCTCCCACGTCTGGCCAGACATGGGGCTTTGTCCCCGCTGGACGGGACTGTGGGAAAAGAGGAACAGGGGGCCCGGAGCGCACGAAACCCCACGTGAGCCCCAGTGCGAATCCTCTGGAACGCCTCGCTCGGCAAGGTGAGGGCCCTTTTACCTGAAGTCTGCATGAGGTAGACGCGAACAGTGTTTGCAGCAGCACCGCACAGGAACACGCCGCTGAGCGCCAGGCAGAGGCGGGTCAGGGTATAGCTGTAGTCCACGGTGGGGTTTGTGTAAATGACATCGATGATCCTCCCCAGGAAGAAGGGAGCGGACATGGTGATGACACTGGACATGGCCAGAAACCCAACTGCGGCTAGAAAACACAGGAAGTTCTCAGGCCCGGGGGTGCTTCGGCGAGGGGCGGGGCGCCGAATTCACCAAGCGTCTTGCCCGCAGCAGCTGTTCAGAGCGTGCGCTTCTCAGAGCTTGCGCAGAGCAGGTGCTGCGGGTTTCCTTCTTTCAGCTCCCGGGCCCTTGACTAAAGGCAAGAACCGAGGAGCTTCCAGGGACAGAGTGAGGAGGGTGACTGAGCATCCCCAAGTAGCCAGAGAAGATGACTTGTGCTTTTACCCAGGTTTGATCGTGTCTTCTTTGCCAGGAATTCAAGCAACGCAGGTAGATCTCTGAATTATGTGTAGAATTTCAAAACTTTAAATAACCTTTGGGAAGCAGTTGCTGTCATCCATGACACATGTGGTATGTTCCCTCTTAATCTTACTGCTTTGGGGAATAAAGCACCAGAGTACTGGCATGATAGGACAATAGATAATAACACAATTGTTCATCCGTCTAAAAACCAGTGGGATAGAGTCTTGACGGAAAAGGAAGATACCGAGACAACCCAACCAGGAACAACACATAAGACAGGTGAGTGCGTTCCTAATAAGGGAGTGCAAATCTACACTACAAAGGTATTCCAGTTTTCATCTACTGGATTGGCAAAAAATCAGAGATCGATAACACACCGTGCTGGAAGAAGCTGTAGGAAAAGAGGCATTTGCACTGTTAGTGGGTGTGCAAAGTGGCACAAATGCAACGGAGAGTGATGCGATCACATCGGTTAAAATGTGAACGTACATTCCCTTTGATCCAGCAATTCTGCCTCTAAGATTCTAACTTCTAGGTAGACTCCCCTAAGTGTATGCAAAACATGTACCCTCATGGACATTCGTTACAGCATCACTTATACCAGCGGAACATCCACAAATGGGGAACAAGTTAGATCAATAAAGGAGCATTTATTTTCTGAGTGTTACACAGTTATTAAAAAGAAGGGGGCGACTCTATAGGTATTGACGTCACCAAGCTACAATGTTAGTGAAAACAGCCCAGGACCCAGATGTTAACGTTTTCTTGTTGGTTTCGAAGTTTACGTACGCACAGGACAACTCCAGGAGAGTAATCAGACGCAGGCAACAGAAGTTCCTTCTTAAGACCAGGGTGACTGGGGGGCAGGGTATGTGCTACTGTGTACTTTGAGCTTGGTCCTATTAGGAACCCACCTAGTACCACCACCTTAAAGTCATGGCGAGGCTCCTAGATGAACACGACACGGACGGAACCCCAGGAGATGGGAGCTCTCACACCCTGCAAGTAGCAATTGCTTCTCTTGGCGTTTTGTCTAATGCTAACCACTGCAGTTAAAGGTATTACTTTCACGTAACCTCAATAAAAAGAATATAGATTGTATTATTTACAATACCAAGTGTCCATCCACAGATGAATGGATAGTGTGGTATACGCGCGTGCGCGCGCACACACACACAGTGGAATATTACTCTGCCATAAAAAAGCATGAGGGCTTGCCATTTCCTCTAATATGGATAGACCGAGTGGGTATTAGGCTGAGTAAGGTAAGTCAGACAAAGAAAGACAAACAGCACGTGACTTCACTTACATTTGGAGCATAAAAAACAAAACGAATGGACAAACAAAATATTTTAGACTCTTAAATACAGAGAACTGGAGATTACCAGAGGAAAGGTGGGAGAGAGTATTAAGTGACAGATACAGGGGTGCCTGGGTGGCTCAGTTGGTTGAGCGTCCGCCTTCGGCTCAGGTCATGATCTCGCGGTTCGTGAGTTCGAGCCCCGTGTCGGGCTCTGTGCTGACAGCTCAGAGCCTGGAGCCGGCTTCAGATTCTGTGTCCTCTCTCTCTGCCCCTTCCCCGCTCATACTCTGTCTCTGTCTGTCTCTCAAAAATGAATAAACGTTAAACAAAAAATTAAAAAAAAAAAGAGAGAGAGATAGATATAGGAGATGAACTGGAACAAGCTTCCAGTTATAAAATAAATAAGCCACAGAGATGCAGAGTACAGTCTGAGGAATACAGTCAAGAATACAGTACTAAATGCTGTTTGGTGACAGATGGCAACTACATTTATCGCGGTGGTCACGGAGTAAAGGGCAGAATTGATGATTCAATATATTACACCTGGAACGAATATAACTTTGCACATCAACTAGACTTCAATCAAAAATATTTGTTTAGGTTTAAAAAAGAGCAAAGAGCGGACTCAGTGCCAACGGTTAGTTGGCTGGCAGAGCGCTAGGAGAAAGGGGAGGCATTTAGGGAGGGAACATTTCCCACAATGGCTCTCTTCCTTCCTCGAGGCCTCCTGACATCCTGTTCTGGAGAAGACCTTAGCGGACGACCTTCTGACAACCTTCGTTAAAATACAAATACCCAAACACTGCCTGCATCACTCCCTCTTCCTTCTTCTGCTAGCACTTGCCACCTTCTGGCATTCTAAACCAAAAGTGTCACTTGTTTACTGTCTACTCTCCACTGGGACCTAAAAGATTTTTGTCTGTTTCGTCCACTGCTATACTCCCACCGCCTACGGGGACAGAGACACAGGAGAAGTTCAATAAACATCTGCTGGATGAATAAAAAAAACTGAACTGGGGCAAAGAAGGCATAAAAGTCTATCACATCAAAGTGCCTCAGTGAGCCTAACTAGGAACGGAATATCTGGTGCCTCGGAAAGTCCACATGGAAATGATTCTTTGCACAGAGCCAGAAAGTTCCTGTGTCTGGCTTCATACCGCACAACCACAGTTTAACTGAATAATGTGAACCTGGTCAAGGGCCGTTTCATTTTGATGCAAGACCTGGGGTCTTGTTTCAAAATGCCACGCTCCTGACGACAAGAGCCCAGAGGGACTGAAAGCCCACCAGGCACAGAGAATGTTTACTCGGGATTCTGCCCAGCACAACCTCAGGGAGCTGGTGTGCTCCGGAGAGAGGCGTCCTGAGGAACGAGGGATTAACCCGAGAGGCCTTTCTGTTTCATCTGTCATCAGTAGCTAGCTAGTCTCTCCAGTCTGCTCTTTCGCTCTGGCAAACGCCTCCACGGGTGCAATGCATGTGAAGTGCCAGAAGGGTCCATTTCCCCCTTCCTCCTCCCGTCTTTTAATTCAAATTGATGATTCCAAATCAGAATCTGGAGTTCGTGAATGAAATGCCCCATGATTTAGATTCTGAACCCTAGTTCTGACACAGTCATAATAACAATTACAAAGAGGAAAGAATTTAGTTGAATCCAAACTCATTCCAGGATATCCCCTTTTTCCTTTTAATTAAAAAAAAAAAAGATTATCAGCCTGTTTTATTGCCATTTGTGTCCTTCTCCTACAATGCAGGACACAAAAGTAAAATAAAATAGATAAAAGTAAATGAACGTAGACAAAAGTAAAATAAAAGATTTTTTTTAGCTTTCAGTTAGCTGGATTCTTTTTAATGGACGTCTTCCCTACAACTGTCTTTGACATTAGTGAATAATTTAGATTTGAACCAGAACTATCATTCCAGATTCCTCCCTAAACCCAACATGCCAAGGACACTGCAACCCTTCTGAAATTCTTCAACTGTTTTCCATGGTTAAGCCTCTTGCCTGATGGGACCCCAGCAACTGTTATGTATCTCTTGACAGATTTCTTCAGGTATCTTCCTGAAGGTTATCCTCGTTCTACTGAACCACGGCATCCAAAAAGTGAAATATCCTTCAAAGGGAGGAGGGAAGAAATCCTAAAATGCAGAGTTTACTCATGAAAGCACAGAGGTTTTGGGGTGGGTGGAAGAAGCTCTACAGCATGACCACCAGCTGCTGGACATAGAACCAATCTTTCAGCGACGCATCTGACCATCAGGCCGGTACAGCTATCCCCAGTGTCGTTCCAGGACTAAAGACGAAGCACAAAAACGAGCCCCCACCACGATCTGAAGCCTCTGATAGGCATTATCTCCTTGAATCTTCCCAGCACCCCTCTTATCCTCATTATTTTAGAGGCAACTCCAGCAAAGAGGTGAGGGCGCTTGCCCAAGGTCACCCAGTTCATATAGTACAGAACCCTGTTCTGACACAAAGCCTTCCTCTTCTTCCTACATTCCAAGCAGAGGAATCGGCATGAGCCTGGGGTTGGGTCAGGCCAGGAAGCAGCAGAATGGCTGCAGGACAGAGCTGGAATAGGGACCTCGTGACACAAAAGCAGCCCTGAGAAACAAAGTGGAGAGGTGGGGGGCTCCAGATTGTGAAGCGGAACAGGGAATTTGCAGTATGGCAGGCTGTCAGAGGGCTTTAGGCGGGCGAGTGCTACAGGCAGCTTTGCATTTTAAATGTCCCACTCTGGCTGCAGAGTGAAAGGAGAGAACTGGAGGCCAGCATGACCGCAGATGGAGACCGCTTACGGTGTGGTGTTCCAGGGTTTCAGGCAAGGGGGCCTGGGGGAACTAGGGTGGGGACAGAGGGGACAAGGAAGGTGACAAGGACTGCAGATGTTTTTAGGAACGAGGCTCCAGAGGACCCGAGAATTGACCGGATTTGGGAAGCGTGTTAGGAGGGTAGGTTCTAAACTGAGACCTAGCTCTGCCATCTAGCTGTTGGACCTTCAGTGAGTCACTCAACCTCTCTGTGCCTCAGTTTCTTCATCTGTAAAATGGCAATAAAAATAATACCTCTTTCATAGAGATACCACAAGGAGAAAATTCAGTACATACATGTAAAGCATCTGGTACGGTGCCCGATATCTAGCAAACAATACATAGTAGATGGCACTTCCGTTGTCCCCATCACAAGGAGTCAAGAATGTCTCTGGCTTTGGCAAAGGGGTTCACACAGCAGCCCACTCTCTGAGAGAAGCGGCAGCAGAAAAGGCAGTTTGGGGGAGGAAGGCAACTTTGGACTTTGGACATGTTGAGTTTTCAGGCATCTGGGAGACATTTCCGTGGATGCAAGGTGGGTACCATGGGGAACAAAGGAGTAGAAGATACTCCAGGTTCGAGGGTGAGGTGAAGAAGCCTGGCATCTAAAC